GCCATTTGTGTGACCATTTCAGAACAGGAAACTAAGATAATGAGAGTTTAAACTGACTTGTCTGGGCTTACCCAGCCAGTAAGGTGTAAAACTGGAATTCTTAAGCTAACAGACTTTGCTTTGAATTATTTTAAGTTGTAAACAACACAATACACACTTTTAGACAGATGATGTAGTGCCATTTTCATTATAGTAGGCAATTTTGTTTTCAGAAAAAGATAAAACGCTATGGTCCCTTCCTTAGAATCATATTTTAATTTACTTCTGTTTTCTTATCTTGGTTTACACATAATTGAACAAACTATCGTCTTAAGACAGGCCCCGATGGAGGTGAGTGTTAGGCACAGACGTATAATGATCCCACACTGGAGACTGAAAAGCAGCTAGAGGTGAGAAGCAGCTTGTCCTGTTGTTGGTCACAGACATTGAGTAGACGTGAACTCTGAAGGGAAAGTCGGGGGCAGCTCACAGGTTAGCTTACTGACAGGCTGCCACGTTTTAACATCTACCTCACAAGGGTAGCTCTCAGTCTCACAGCCTTGCAAAAAAGAGAGTGAATCCTTCGTATTAAATTCATAAATAATGGAGCTCCAAAACTCATTAGATTTCTTCTTTAGAAGTCAAAATAATTTATCCATCATTTTAAGACAGCACAATTTCTTTTATCCCCATTCTTTGGATGGTTCTTAGGGTTCAAGTGCAGTTTTGCCACATCGAGATATTACATTTTGGTGAAGTGAGGGCCTTTGGTGCAGACATCACTGAAGCAAAGTGTGCTGTACTCACCAAGCAACTTCTGTCATCGGCCCCCCCAGCCCCACCCCTCCAAGTCTCCCTTGTCCCTCGTTCAACACATGGCCTTTCTGTGTACTCACCCCTTAGCTCCACTTAGAAGGGGGAACATTCAGTGTCTGCCTTTCTGTGTTTGATGTGTTTCACTTAAGATAACGGCCTCAAGTTCCACCCATGCTTCTGCAAAAGACGTGATTTCATTCCCTTTTACAGCTGAATGTCGTCCATTGTGCCTGTACGTGTGCGTGTATATGATGTAGTATACGCGTGTGGATACCCCCCCCACACACACACACATATGCACACGCACACACATACACACATATGCACATTTTCTTTATCCAGCTGATCGGCACTTAGGTTGAGCCCATACATTTGCTGTCATGAATAAACATAAGAACACAGGTATCTTTTTTCTTGCTGACTTACTTCCCTTTGGGTAGATGTTCTGAAGTTGGATTGTATGGGGTTCTAGTTTTAGATCTTTGAGAACTCTCCATACTGTTTTCAACAGAGTCCGCACGCTTTCATATCCCCCCAACAAAGCATAAGTCTTTCTGCACACCCGTTTCCGGCACCCTTATCTGTTATTTTTTTGTCTTTTTAACAACAGACATTCTGATTGGTATAAGCTATCTCACTGTGGTGTTAAATTGCGTTTCTCTGATGAGTGATGTGGGGCATTTGTCCATGGTTGCTGGCCATTTGTGTATCTTCTTTTGACGGATGTCTGTTCATGTCCTTAGCCCATTTTTTAGTAAGGTTAGCTGTGGAGGTTTTTGTTGAGTTGCTGGAGTTCCTTATAGTTCTGGATATTGTTCCCCCACTGGATGGACGGTGAGAAAATATTTTCTCACGCGCTGTATGCTATCTGTTGGCTCCATTATGTTTTCTGCTGTGCAAAAATTTTGTAATTTAGTTAAGTTCTATTCTTTTATTTTCCTTTCTGTTGCCTGTATTTTTGAATTATGAATTTTTTGTCTAGCCCAATTTCGAGAAGCATTTTCTCTAGTTTTTTTCCTATTTTTTTAATAAGTTTTGCATCTTACATTCAAATCTTTAATTCATTTGAGTTAATTTTTGTAGACAGTGAGAGATAGATATCCAGTTTCATCCTTGCACGTACGCAATCCAATTTGTCCAGAGCTGTTTGGTAAAAAGGGTGTCCCTTCCCCAGTGTATGTTCTTGTCGACTTTGTAAAACATCATTTGGCTATAAGCATCTGGCTTTATTTCTGAGTTTTCTATTTTGCCCCACTGACCTAAGGACAGCATAATTTCTAATGAAATTTCATATGGAAGTAGGTGAAAACATCCTGTGCTCTCCTTAGCACCTGGGTTTTGCCCTGGATAATACATGACCTGGCCTGGATGTGATGCCTTTTGGCTGTTTCGTTGGCTCCAGGGTTTCAAGGTTCTGTGAACATGGTGGTAGTCTAAAAGAATAGAATCTAGGAAGAAGGTGGGATCTTTCTCTTTTTCTTTTTTAAGACAAGGTCACACTCTGTTGTCCAGGTTGGGGTGCAGTGGCACGATCATGGCTCACTACTATAAGCTCAAACTCCAGGGCTCAAGCAACCTCACCTCAGCCTCCCAAGGAGCTATAACTATAGGCGCATGTGACTTTCCTGGCTAACTATTTTATGAGACGGAGTCTCCCTATGTTGCCCAGGCTGATGTTGAACTCCTGGCCTCAAGCAATCTTCTTACCTTTGCCTCCCAGAGAGCTGAGATGACAGGTGTGCATCACTGAGCCGGCCAGCAGTGGGATCTTTTGTTTCGAGCATCCGTTTTCAAAAAGCTCAGCTACATCCTGCCACAAAATGTGTCTTACTCTTCTGTGAGATATACAGTACGGACAAGGATAGTTCATCACGAAAGTGTTTATTTCCTTACTAATAGTTTCAAAATGTGACGGAGGCCGAGCTGCTGTCAGACCGTGTCGTGACAGCTCCAGCCTTCTCTCCAGCCTCTGCAGAGCCTACTGTGGTGCAGCATTTGTATCAATTGATTAAAATTTAACCCACGTCTTTTTTTCCTCTGACCCTCACATTTAGAGATTAGGTTTGTGGCTTCCCGATTTTCAGTTTCATAGAAAATATCCGCATTTTCCTGTCACAAAGCCAGAATCACAGCTGTGACAGAGATGAGACTTCTCCCAGGGTCCCCAGCAGGGAGGACACAGGAAGAGATGCTGACCTTGTCACACCTCCAGGCGCACAGACCCGCACTCTGTGTAGCCAGTAGGGGAGAATCCATCACACTTGTTAGAGACCCATATCTGCTAGAGACCAGTAGCTACCCCTGGGAGTATCTACTGGTTTTTGGGCATGTCCCTACGTATTTTTACATGTGTTTATGTTCAGTCTTCCCAGTCTTATAAAATGATTCCCGGAAGCAGAGATTTCATCTTCTGTTCTCTTTTTATCTGCTGATCCTGTCATCTTTCATCAGTAACAC